TAGTCGTTCTTGAGGCAAAAGATATAAGAAAGATGATATGCGAAGGTAGGTTACTCGCATTTATATAGCCAGCATCGCAGTTCCAATTTTTCATTACTAGGTCTAGGAACAAGTCATACTAGCAACCTCTGTGTTTACTATACTGTACTATCATAGCATAATAATGGAGTCCTACCTATTATCAAAGATACTATAGAAACACTGGTATTTCTAATATCTTTGCTATGATTTCTATAAGCAAACAGATAGTTCCTACGGAAGCATCTTGCCCCATTATCGAGGATCTTTCTCAACAAACTTCCTAATTATTATTACCTAATAGTGTTTTAAATATATTAATTATTAGTACAAAACAATTTGTTGGTTTTACAAATACTGTATACAAATGTTCAAAATGATGCATGTAAGAATATATGACTTTCAAGTTATTCTTAATATAAAGTTGGAAGTGATTTTTTATTTTATTTTATAAATTTTAATTGAACTACATTTATTGGTAAAGACTCTTACAGCTAGGCGGGTACACAAAAGCCCACCTATAGAACTCAAATACAAACACCAATAATCAGCAAATAAAATAATACATATTGTTTTCATTATATTTTTCATAGGTATACAGATCAAGGTTCAATTAATGCAACGCCGAAAGGTGATCAAATGCAAAAAGACTTCGGTAGTTCGTGGCACGTGTGATCCGATATTCAACGAGGCGTTCGTCTTCAACATTGCCTCGGATCATATGGAGATGACGAGCATTATGCTCAAGTTCGTCCGATCTCCTTCCAGCAAGCTGGGCAGTAGTAGTCATGATTATGGTTTCGTCAACACAGGACCATTCATGCTAGCCCGTGGCGAAGAACTCCTCCATTGGCAGGAGATGATGGCACAGCCGAAAAAACCTGTAACTAAGTGGCATTCAATAACAACCATGTCGAACGACTATTAAAATACATATACTGTAATGTCTTTTTTTTTATTGTGAACAATTTAGTATAAGGCACCTAAAGGCCTTTACGCGCTACATTGCATGAACTTTTACTATAATTATAGAAATGAAAAACAAACGCGAGCGAGGGAAACAAATAGTTAAATAATAACAGTGCTCGCATAGAAACATCTGTATAAGATGTTATAACCATATCAAACATATCAAACATAGATCTATATGTATATTGAAGGAACAATGTAAATAGCACTGTTAATTTAACAGTCGAGGTATAACTCTAATAATTTATTATAACAATATTAATATCAATAATAGGGCTAGTAAATTAAACAATATGATTATAATAGTAATAATAATAATATAAATAATAATAATAATAATAATAATAATAATAATAATAATTGTTATTATATCATTAATGTCACTGTTATGTGTTTCACCATACAGATTTAAGAGAACGTATTAAATAAGCAATAAACTTCAAAAACAAGTTTCGAAATTTTGACTTTATTCGTCCTTTAGAAAATAATGTTAGAAATAAAATAGTAGGATTCTATTACAGATTATGAGCACAGGGGCGGATCCAGAAATGTCCAAAAGGGGGGGGGGCCGGAAGCGGGGGCCGAAAGTTGGGCCGATTGAGACAACACTGT